GTCCATGAAATTATATTAGTGGTTGACAGTAAAATGTCAAATCTACCTGGCAATTCATCTCATGTATATACTTTCCAGTAGTTTCTGACACCAAAAATAGATGAACCTCATGGCTGTAAAGAAGGCGATTTTCCGTCCTTTAAACCAATTTCCTGTTCTTAATCCTTTATTCCTATTAAGGATTCTTTCCTGCAGTGCCATTTAGCTGTAGAGTTATACATAATCATGATTCTTTTAGCAATATTTTCTATCATGAATGATGTCTTTTGTTTGAAAAAATTCTATTGCAGACTTTTTTCACCCTTGGGCCAATTCCCAACATGTTAGATCCATAGCATTATTAAAAAATTAATTAATTAAAAATTAAACCAATATTTCAATGGCATAATAATGTAGAACTATCTAAATTTGCTTGCAGTCAAAATTCCTGTGCATTTAGAGAAATCTACATCTAAACACAGTTTGCGATTAAATGGGCACATTTGCTCAATATAGCATTTTTGACGCATATATTTTTGCTGCAGTGTTGGACAAAAACATAAATAGTTGCATAATTTTAAACATTTTTGTAATTGAAAGTATATGTCTTTGACCTGTGGTTTCAAAAATAAAGGTTAGAGAGAGACTTTTGTAAATATGGTGTATTCATTATCCATTTCTTCTTTTTCTACTAAAATTTCGACTAACAGTCATATCAAAGTAATCTTTTACATTAAAGAATTATACAATGTCTTTTACTTTCTGCCCTGAGATGGGGTCATAGTTAGGAATATTAGCATTTTTTATATTATCACAGACAGACATGTGCAGTGATCTGAAACTCAAATTGCATGTTGGCCAAATGCATAACCTGAAAGCACCTGACAGGCTGAATTATTTTAAAATTAAAACTTTTGTTTATTAAATATTTATCAAAACATGCATAAAGGGTAATAATAATAATAATAATAATAATAATGTAAAAGGAAAAAGTCCAGTTTATATTCATTTTCTGTCTAAAATCTGAAGGTTAGAATCTGCAGGAAATTTCTGTTGTTTACTATTTGTAATTTAGTTGTATTGACAGCTAATTATTAAATTTCCATATTGACATTTATTTTATATAATTCTAATGTATTGAATTAACCACTAAAGAACTTAAAACTAAAAATAAGCAAATTACAAAAACATTCTAAGTGGGGCAAAACTTGAGAATATATAATGACAAATGTTTCATTCATTTCTTAAATTTCTCTTGTCTTTCTTTCAAATTTTTCTTTTCTTCTTTTAGTAATATTTCTTTGAAAAAATACATATATTTGCATGTAAATAATCATAAGCTTCCTTATCTTTTATTATAGCTTCCAACTACATCTCATGGGATTTGAATTTTGCTAAAAGTTTGTAACCTTAAAATAAAATTACTAGAAACAATTTTTGTCACTAATTGTGGATGCTCATTAATTAGCCGGGTTCTGTTTATTAATTTCCAGTAGTGTGTTGGGGGGACTTGTGTGTCTGCCCCTTCCTACTCACACAACTGGAACACATATAATTGTGTTCTCAAACAAAGCAATTTTTCATATTGTGCAAATTCGCACCTGAAGGTCTAATCGTTTGACAACACAAGGAAAGGGGGTTAATCAAATCTGTATTTTCAAATACACTCAAAAGTCTTTAATCCGGACTCGTCGGGACTTCGGCAATTCCGGATTATCGATTTTTCCGGATTATAGATCATCAGTTTAAATCTGGTAAGATGGCATGCAGAAATTATAAAATTAAAAATATGAAACCGTAATTTATGAAATAAAGAACAATTATGATCTAAAGAGTATCAAAATTTACAAAAAAAAAAATCTTAATATTTATTTGTTTACTTTATTAAACATTTCTTTTAATGTAAGTTGTTTAAGTTGCTTCGTTTTATGTGATAATACTTTCTCTTTAATTCTATAAAAAGACATAATTTCTTCTTCAGTTACAAAGTTCCGCTGTTTAAGTCCTATAATTGCTGTGTCGAGAATACCGACTAATTTGTCAATCGAATTTTTTTCGTTTTCAATAACCTCTGTGTCACTTTCTTCACTATCGGAAGCGAATTATAATGACGAGGAATTTGATTTATCAAAGACGATTTGGTTTGATTGGAATCTGATATATCAAAGACGGAGTACATCGAGATGAAATACTACATTTAGTAAGGAATTATAAGCCAAATAAAATAAAAACATCTGCCCTGAAGAAAAGGATAGTGCTGACAGATCAACTTCCAGTTCATTGCACGCCGCGACGTTTCCCCCCCCCTTGCCCCCCGCAGAGCAGCGTGAAATTGATAAACAGATTTCGGAATGGTTAGAGAAACACAAAGGATATGCCTTTACCCATTTTTTGCAGCAATTCCACTTTTTGTTTGATGGACATCGAAACATACTTTCGCTTTGTAGATCCTTTACATATTAGCTCCAATAGTACATATTGGAAATTCTATTTGACATAATCGAAAAGTTCAAGCTTACTTTTATTAAAATTGCTCTAACAGTCTGCAAAAAATAATAAGCCGGATCCAATTCGAAGATTAAGGAACAACGCAATCTGCAACAATCTGAAATAGATAATTAGATAATTTTAGCTTAGCTTATATCGTCCGTTATACATTAAAAGCGCATGCGTAAAGGAATTACGCGCATGCGCAGAAAGTTTGTAGCTTTGAGTTCCGGATTATGGGTGTCCGGATTAACGACTTTTGACTGTATTTAAATAAGATTTATATCACAGTATAAATAAAAAGCTCCTTTTATCGATTTTTGGGGGGCATTGCTCACATCCCTTTCTAATGGTAATGAAAGCAATGTAAAATTGGACTGGAAATCATTAAAATCTTAAACCTTTCATCAAATTTTTGCTGTAATAAATAATGTCATAATAATAATAATTAATTTATAGAAAATGTATTCATGGGCTGCATAAAACTGCTTTGAGGACTGCCAACTTGAGACCACTGGCTTAAAGAATTCCTTTCCAGCTCTTCTCTTCTGTTACCGTATTTACACATGCATGGGCTACTTAAAACAAATATCAGTGTGTTCTATTTCATGTTCTTAGATATATTCTAAGAGAGAGAAAATCATAATTTTTTAGTCTTGAAAGAGCATTTGCTTTAATTTTTTTTTTTTTTTTTTATTCCTTTTTATGCGTGGAATAGAAGTTTCGAAGTGTAATTCTATATTCTTTTGTGTGTCTAGTTTTCTATTATTTGAAACAAGTTTGATATAAACAGGTTGCACTGCGTCATTCATTATTTATTTTATATATTGATTGCAGTAAAGTTTGAATGTATTTGTGAAATGCAGATTTAGGGCACTTATATTGTAATATTATAAAATACTTTGATAGTCTTTGAAAAACTGCATACTAGAAAGCGTATATTAAGTAGTTGGGCACACTGGCATATTTCAGTTCTGTCTGTGGCCAAAGATCTCTGTGTTTAACTTTGAAACAGGCAGAAAGAATCCATAGACTTATTGACCACATATATTGAAACAGGCAGAGAGGAACTATAGACTTATTGACTATATAGGTACAGATGATGAGATTTTAATAGATGATTTTCATTCTGTCGTCTATGTTCTCCTACAGTTCAGCTTAAATATACCATTCTCATTCCCACTGCCTTTTACATTGACTGTTTTCCCACTTGTGGAAGGTGAAGCTATGCTAAGACTGCATTATTTCTATTTTTATGGATTTTATATTTGTTTCTAATTTTTGCTTTTTAATGGTAAAATAGGTTTTGCATATTATTTAATATGACTTGGTAGGTTTTTTTTTCCAATTATTTTATTTTGAACACATTGTTTTTTTAATGAACTATGATAATTACTCTTCCATTTCATGTTACTTCAGCTTACAGAAAGTTTCATGGTAATGCTGTACTTTTGTAAAATAAATGAAACCTTGTAATATGAATGATTCAATATCAGATAAATCAAAATTTATGAAATAGCACTGCCAATTCAATTTAACAATTGCAAGTATAAAAGATTTAGCAATTTATATTATATAGTCTCTCTCTCTATATATATAGTAAATTTAATATTATATAAAAATACATATGAAAATACACATTCATGCTTATTTTTGTGTTATATTAGTTATGGAACTAAAGTATGCAATAGTTTTAATAAAGAACATGTACATTATGGTTGCGTTTAAACATAAATGATTTGTCTAACATTAACTTGTTAAAAACAAAGTAATAGTGTTTCCTAGCTTGTTTTCTTCAATAGTCATCTTAGCATCAAAGTGTTCCTAGCTATAATGCCTTAACTTCTATTAAATATACAAAAAGTGTTATCTTGGTGACCATTGGACTATCTGTATGAGGATTATTATGTGGGTTTCCTATGTGCTTGGTACACTATTTGTAGAAAAGCGTTTAGAAATATAAGGAAAACAGTATATTTCTCATTTGGGTTTGGCATAAATAGTATCAAACCTTGACGAGGCAGTTTCATGTAATTGGCATTCTGTTGTATTTTAGTCCTATATTGAATAATTCTTTTATACTGTATTTTAGCATTTCCAAATATGGTTACCTGCTTCATATCAGGCTAAAATGATAAAATTATTAAATATTATTTCTGTGTTTACAACTGCCAGCACTAATGACAAATCCAAATTTTAAAGATCTTTTTAATATGGGGAAAATAATCAAATAGATTTAACTTAAACACTGTTAACATGCATTTCTCCATCCAAATTATATCCTCTTTCTAACTAAATAATTATTAAAACAATGATCAAAATTTATTAACATATTTTACAGGCATAAAAACATATTTATCAGTTAACCACTTTTTTAAAATTTTATTCCTTAGTATAATGAAATCATTTTGTACATGGCTACATGTGCATTGCATTACTCTTGTAATGCAAATTACTTGCTTTCTGGAGGGCATAAAAATTTCAGAAATTAAACAAACAAATTGCTTGCTGATATATGTTCTTTTTTCTTTCAGGCCTCTTATTAGATTTTATGCCAAAAATCAGCCTACTGAAATTACTGATGAACCAATTAAATATTCCACAAGTGACGCAGCAAAATGGAAAGCTATATATTCTACTCGTGGAGAAGATTATTATACGACACCCAAAATACAGTCCACTGCTATTATGCTGAGTTTGATAGCATTTATGGTGTACTTTTGCATGTTAAGAGAAGAAAACGATTTAGATGATTGGCTAAGGGACATAGAAAAACAAGTGCCACTGCAAATAGAAGAAGGGAAACTTCGAGCAGCTATTGAACAAAGAAAAAAATCTAAAACAGACAGTACTTATGAAGAACAAAGACTTGAAGAAATTCTTAAACAAAAAGCACAAATTTTTGCTAACAAATAAAAAAAGAGACATAATGTTAAACATGTTTTATTTGTAATATACTAGTATATATAAAATCAGCTCTAAAATAAGGGCAAAAGGACTGTTTGCCATATATATTAGTTAAAATAAATTGATGAATATAGATCAGGTGCACATGTTTTATTTACTTCTTTTTATATATAACATATATATATATATATGTATATAGTTTATGAACATTTAGTTCTTGAAAGTTGGATAATTAGAAGCGATGTATTATGCAATAAAATTTTATTTATCCAAATATTCTCAGTACATTGTATATGGTCAAGTAAATGAAGCTTATCTGTTTGCAGTAAAATAAAATTTACCATTGTTTTTACTCTAATAAAATTAAACTAGTATGCTTTATTTTATCCCAGGGAAGTAAAATAAAACTTGTTACTTTTAGTTGACTAAAAAGCAAATTGTTAAGTTTTATTTTACGTAGATAAAAATAATTTTTTAATACAGTAAGAATAAATTAAGTTCATATGTCCAGTTTTAAGGTCCGTATAAATAAAAATTACTTTCATAGTTTTAATTTTGCAAAAAGAAATGAATTTTGTATTGTAGGGAAACAAAAGTATTTTTTAATACAGTCAAAAGTCGTTAATTCGGACACCCATAATCCGGACCTCAAAGCTAAAAACTTTCTGCGCATGCGCCGCGTTGACACATGCGCATAGGCGTTTACGCGAGCGCGTAAGAGCTCTTACGACTGCGCATTTGCGTGTGCGCAAGCGCAGAATACGTTTTCGCGTGCGCGTTTTATGTATAAGGAACGGTATAAGCTAAAATTATTTATTTCAGTTAATGTTGATGATATCGTTGTTCCTTAATTTTTGAATTGGATGCGGCTTATTATTTTTTGCAGACTGTAAGAGCGATACTATAAAAGTAAACTTGAACTTTCGATTATGTCAAATAGAATTTCCGAATCTGGAGCTCCCAAAGGATCGTACAAAACGAAAGTATGTTTCGATGTCCATCAAACAAAAAATGGAATTACTGCAAAAAATGGATAAAGACATGAAGAATGTGACAGAGAGGTTAGTGAAAACGAAAAAATTTCGATTGACAAGTTAGTCGGTATTCTCGGCACAGCAATTAACGGGACTTGAACAGCGGAACTTTGTAACTGAACAAAAAATTGCGTCTGTTTATAGAATTAAAGAGAAAGTATTATCACATAAAACGAAGCAACTTAAACAACTTACATTGAAAGAAATGTTTAATAAAGTAAACAAATAAATATTAAGCTTTTTTTTTGTAAATTTTGATACCCTTTAGATCATAATTGTTCTTTATTTCATAAATTACGGTTTCATATTTTTAATTTTAGAATTTCTGCATGCCATGTTACGCGATTTAAACTGATGATCTATAATCCGGAATCGCTGAAGTCCCGTCGAGTCCGGATTAACGACTTTTGACTGTATATAATTTTTGTAGGAATAAATTATGAAAAAGAAAAGTAATAAAATTCTTCACTTTAATGTAGTAAATATATTGTTACGTATTTTCTTCTTACGTACGTACGAGGGTTTGTGGATTTGTAGTGAATAATGACGACACTTGAAGAAGTATGGCAATTTATTAGCCAGTATTATCCAAGACAGCTCCCAATAACACGTTTACAGTCGCCGAAGAACTTCTATAAACACGCTGAAACAATCAGGGACACAGCCTTCAGGCTATAACGGTGAAGACATCTTCACGGCAAAGCACCACAGTACAGCTCCCGACTCTGCTCGATCGTTCCCGGAACTCTACGTACTCTCGAGACTCTCCACGCTACAACTCACGATGCACTCAATGATACACTAAAGCAGCAGTCGCCAACGGGTGGTCCATGAAAACTTTTTGATGGTCTGCAGAAAAATTGGGACCTTATTAATATTCAGTTTAAAAGATGCAATATTTTAATAAATTTAATTAACGAAGATTCAGTTTAAGAAATGACGAGTTTCAAAATGTATATGGATTATACTATTTTTTCTTTTTTTTTTAATTTTAGTTACTGCTATTATTCCTTTTGAATTTAGCTGCTTTTTCAGGTGTATCTAGCGACATTTGAAAGTGAGAGTTGGCATCCATGGATATGCTGCTGTTATCAATAATAGCGTGAACTGGAATTCTCTTTCTTTTTGAATTACAGACTTATGCTATTGTGGTCATTAACAACACAGTTTTTCTCCTTGTCAATAGGCATCTTGATGGATTTTTATGAGAGCCATCTGCATTCTTGTTTATAATTGCGACACTGGAAGTTTTTGTTTTGTCTAACTGTTGATCGATGGCGCCACTGTTGAGTATGCGATGATTACGTTTACAATAATTAAAAATTGGCGGCATAACAATGTCAATTTATTGATATTGCTTTGCATTTGTCGGTTTGTTCATGCTTTTCGTGAAGTTCGTTTTCAGTGATATGGAAGTGTGAAGCTTTTTGTACAAGAAGGTAAGATTTTCCTACTTTTCAGGTAATTTTTCAGTGTGAACGAAATATGTGTAGTTTGCATAAATGTATTTACCTTTTTAATTACCTAATTATTATTGCATAAATGTATTTACCTTTTTTTAAATTCATATTACTGGTCCGCCAAATATAAAATTATGTATGTAGTGGTCCATGAAGTTCTAAGGGTTGACGACTGCTGTACCAGAATACAGCTCCCGACTCTGTTCAGTTCTCGGAGCTCAACACACTCTAAGATAAAAGTCGACGATGCACTAACTCGCGATACACTAAGAGACTCTCTTGATGCACTCGACGATGAAGTTTGCACTAGACTTTCAGAAACTCACTCACTGACAATCAACACACTCGACTGCCTCTGGCTATCAACTCGATGGACTTGACACTGATTGACTCTCCGCGTATCAGCGGGGTTTATATAGCTTTTGACTTGTGCTGAGAACATTCTGCGCTAAACCAGTAACAATCCGTTCCAGAAGGTTCTCCATCCGCCAATTATGTCGCCAGATGGGTGATTTCTCGCCAAATGTGGCAACTCTCCTCACCCCTTGCCATTTTCTGGTGACCCTAAACCTGCTTTGCGGGGAAGCTATCTTACCGCGCCTGGACATTTCGTAACAGTATGTTAATCTCACAGTATAAAAGACGATTCTATTATCTTGGTGCATTATTCTTCCATTTGGGCCAGGTATCTAGTTCTGCTAGATATATAATTTATTAGTTATTGTAATCATTTCGGCTAATCTTTGGAATATGGTAACAGGTAGTTTGGCGACATTTTGGTAGGCGATAAAGGTTACTACCTAGGACTTTGGGAATAATGTGAGAAGTACTCAGTTCCGATTACACATTATTTCGTGTGAGGGAAATGAGAGATCATGAGATATGTCATGTGACATTTATGGACGAATCACAGTCCTTTAATCGGAAAAGGGGGTAAATTTGTAAAAATATCTGCTATACTTTATAGCATTAGCTTCATTCTATGTTCTGTGAAACAGTGTTGCTTAATATTTGGATCCCATGGCCCTATGTAAAGTAAATCCGAGATTTTTATTGCGTTTATGTGTAATCCAAAAGAATTGCTTGAATGGTGTATGAGTGTAGGATTAATTGCGGATAAGTATGAATGTCCAACATGTGGGAATGAAATGAGATTGTGTGAAAGGAAGGATATTACAGATAAGTTTGAATGGCGGTGCAAGAAATCTGGTGAAATGGACATTTTGTGAAACGGAGTGTAATGAAGGGTACGTGGTTTGCTGAAAGTCGTTTGAGTATGGGTGAAATTTTATTAATTCTTATTAGTGGGTGAATAGACTGCCAGTTGATTACTGGATTATTGAATCTATAAGAAAAGTTTATCCGCCCTGCAATCAAGATTGTGAAGAAGTTAGGTAAGTTAGTATTTTTAATCATTTGAGGATATATTTTTATGCATTAAGAAATAAATAAATTAATATGGTATTTCGGAAATTGTATTAGCAATGAATTAGTTTAAAGTAATTAGGATTGTCAGCTAATTTTATTAATTTAATGTATGTGTTTATTTAGATTTTAAGTAGTGTTTTTTAATTAATTATATTTAATTTAATGATCGTGATTTTGTGAGTTATATGTTTGTAGTATTTGGAATACGTTTGAGTAGAAGTAAATGTGCATGGAAATAATTTAAATATTTGACACAAAGTATTTGTAATGCTTGCGGTATGAATTCGTTGGTGACGTTTATAATATAATAGATGATTTAGAGGGAAAAGTTTTTGGATATTTTATTTATTTTATACGTGCAAATGTTCATCCTTGGAAAGAGTATATACTTTTTTGCGATCAGCTAATTTCATATATGTCCTTTTTACCGAATTTAAAGATTCACAAAATTTTCCTGCATTTTCGTGAAATTTTTCTAATTTATGAGAAAAAAGCAGTGTACATGGATATAGTAAAGAGTGTGAGCAATGACATTTTTGTGCAATTCTGGAATGTTTTTTTAAGTAAAAATAAGTCGACGGGTACATGGTTACTGTGTATGTGCGATTCTGAAAAACGCGGCAAGGAGTATGCGATTCTGCACTTTTTCCCAATTTTGCAGTTAATATTTGTCATGATTAAGCAGTTTTGTTCCATAAAATTTCTAGCATAAGTGTAATTCGGCTAGCAGATTGTTGGAAAAAGTGTTCAGTAAATAAAAAGAAAAGAAACATGTCTTTACTTCGTGAAGACAAAATGGCGCCGAAAAAAAAAAAGTAGAAGGTTGCTGTAGCAGAGTTGGTCGCCAAAAAATCGCCAAGTTACCATAATCCAAAGATTAACCATAATTTCAAGTCAAAAACGCATGAGTATTTTATTATATAAATTAACATCTTTTAAGTTAGTGATAAACATTCTAAGATGGTCAAGTTTTAAAGGGATGAGAATTAAATTATAGCCTTTAGGTATATTGTATGTTATCTGTATGACTGTGACTGGTAAAAATTATTCCTTGAATCATTTGTTTCCTGCGTCATTGCTGAGGAATGGTCTTATTTCCGTGCCCTGGGGTATTCTGCAGTTCTTTCGTACCACCTGAAGGCCACCTTCAGCTCCGCAGTTCCAGCACTTTAGCTTCGTGTCATTCCTTTTCCATCTCTTGTTCATTTAATTGTCTGT